TAAAGGCTTGCTATCAGAACCGGCTTTGCCTTCTTCTGCCTATTAGTCGGGGACATAACAACTGGCGACGCATGTGAGATCCAGTTGTCTAATACGGGACATAACAGTGCCACTCTTGCAAGTAGTACTGTTTTGGCATTGGAATTGAAATACGCATCGATATCAAGTTGTATTAAGCCTTTTGATCCTTGGTTTACCCAGCTTCTGCAAAGTATAGAACGTGGAATTTTAATTTCATCCTTACCGCACCGCCAGTGTCTAGGTGGTTTGTCCAGTAGACGACCTTAACTCCTGCTACACCGTTTCTTATTTTCGCAGTTTTCTGACTTCGTTGGTTACTGCTTAACCAGGAAATCAATTGATTGTATCGATTATGGGCATGTTTACAGTTGTTGGACCGTGTAAACAACCGGTTGGGTGTATTCACTCCAGTTTCCGTTGGACCGCTATTTAAACATTTCAAAACTAGTGCATACTCTGAACACCCTGAACAGCCTTCGTGCCGTTTCTGCAAAAATGAATACCTTCACTCTCGACGCCTCTCCTGGATGCTGTGCATTACTGGTGGTTTTGAATACCACAGAGCTAATGAGTTGAAACTCACTTTCCCCAGGAGTATTAATAAGAATGCTTACATTAGCAACTCTGCCTATCTCAGTTGTAGGAAGCACTTTGACCCAGGTCCACTGTAGCTGTTAGCTGACAGTATCAAGAGCACCATATGCGACCTCGCTTCAACACTCCCGACTCAGTTAGGACCGTTAACTCTATTTCTTGGGTCACCGTTTTGAGAACCGACGTTCTTCGTTCTATTAGTATATGCATCATACTTGTTGAAACTCGAATTTCGATCATATACACCTGTAAGAAGACATTTGCGTAAATCTCGCACTGGTTGCTAAGCCTGTAAGCAGTCCAGTGCCCCACACTTAATTATACTTGATGCAGCTGCGATCATTACTGACCTAGCTGGCCTCGATGATGTCTCGTATGGTACTTCTCCACGCTTGACGATCGGTGGCTTCAGACCCACACATTTCCATTCATTCTCTTCGCCAGCACCGGAAGCCGAATACCGAAGGTCCAAAAACCACTTTCATGTCCTGACGGACTGAGTCGAGGCAGGTTTTGAGTTGACGTCCTCTTCAATATCTCCAATTGGATAACAGTTTCGGGTCGAGGGCAGCAACACTGAGCTCGTGAGGCTGACGACGAAGAATCTATCCAAACCAGCTCGGTCGTCATTCTCGGATGGCCTAGGATATTCTCGCGATGTTGTCGCAGTGTGTGCGGACTGTCTTATTTGAAACGAGGTCGGTGTATTTCACTCGAAGGATGGTCCTCAAGCAGGGATCAAATACCTCCAGTTTCCTTTCGTCAACAGGCATAGTCCAGCATTCACAGCCGTGGAGAAGTAGAAACCGCACAGATGCACGGTACACGCGAACCTTTGTGGCAATGGAAATATCGCATCGGGTCCATAGGTACCTTCCAAGGCTGAAGAAAACTGCACGATCTGTGTCGATTTGGGAGACAATGTCATCCTTACTTTGTCCATTCGGTAGCAACCTCGCTCCGAGGCATTGAAACTATTTACTTCTTCAAGTTGATAGCCACTAAACTCGAGAGGTACCTTCTTTTGGGCAGGAATGCAGCATTAAAACTTTGATCTTTCAAGCCTTTATATACAAACCGACCGATTTAGCGACCTCGTTCACTCGTGGCACCATAGACTGTAGGTCGCCAAAGCTTAAAGCTAGTAGAGCGATATCGTCGGTGTAGTTGAGATCGATCAACCGGCCTCCGGAGGCTAGCTTAACACCGCCCTCTTCACGTAGGGCCTTCCTGAGAATCTAGTCAATTGTGTAGCTAAATAGAAGGCGCGACAGGCCACAGCCTTTTCGAATGCAAGACCGAATAGTGATCAATTCTGAGAGGCTGTTATGGACCAGAAACCACGCAGTGGTGGAGCGGTAGTATGCCTTGATCTTGGCAAAAATGTTCCCACTTTGCCAGTTATGCATATTTGATTGTGACCCACCTTTTCATTACAACCCAATCCCCTTAGCCGTTTCACTTCATTTTTAACGGTTGGTCCAATTGTAGTGAGTTACGAAACCATTACTCCATTACTCCCATTTCCTGTTTTTCAGATTGAACTTTTTACAGCGCGGATAGAAAAAAAGGAGGCAAATCCGAAGTTGGACATGGTTGGTTTTCTCCAACGAGAGGTATGCCAATTGACAGGCTGATTGAGTCTGATTGCAGGCTAAAGGAGCCTCGTCGCTAGTGCTCTGGCTGGATTGCGACAAGGAGGGCGAGAATATTTGCTTCGAGGTTATTGACAGCGTCCTTCCCGTCATGGGACCGCAGGTATGTGCAAAAACGTTATTTAGGGAAGCCTTAGCAAACTAGAAGGCGGTAATGGACTTAAGCTCTATCTGGGGCTTTATGAAGCACGGAAAGATGCTGTTGGCAACAAGAAGAAGCATTTCCGTTTCCTCGGGTCTGAAAATCCCAGTTGCTTGGTATGGATCCTTCTCTCAGTCACACAAACGTTCCTCTAGGTTTGCTACCGTTGAGAACATGTTAGGGAGACTGAGAACGTTTTCTGATAGCTTTATTTTAACACTACTAAAAAGTATTGCCGATTTTTCACCGAATAAAACATTTTGATCTTACGGAAGGAAAGAAACACTACCGACAAAGGTTGTGGTTCCTTATCCCTAACCAGTCAGCCAGGTGATGCACCACCGGGTTCTCGAACCCGTAACCTGTGCATTAGATGTCCAGCACTCAAACCCACTGCGCTACGGGCTCTTTGTCTTGGTTTTTTCGATCGGAAATTTTAACATCGGTGAGCGGACGCTAACTGATCGCTTACGGAGTTTTAGACCTCCAAGTAACAAGTCGCGGGTTCGCGTGGTGCGCCACCAGGGGTTGGCTATGGTTGGCTGATGACGTTCATTGAGCTAGAAACGGCCATTCAAGTCTCCCTTGTCTCTGTCACTTAGGTTTCTCTGTTGCTAATACTAGCCGCTTTGCGGCTGTTGTCGGGGCTTGAGCGAGAGTCCCAAGGCACAACGGGACGTATGTGTTCCGTGACGACCGGTGACTGCCTATCCACCCATATTACGGAGCATCTAATTTTGTGTAGTGTTTCCATTGTAAAAAAACGAATTCAATCTCAGTATTTTGCGTATGCTGCTTCTGTCTGAATCTAGTTTTTTATTGTTGAAAGTAGCATCAGCTATGTGCTAACTGAAGTTGCCTGTTATGTAGGAAAAGTATATGATAGCCAAATCCTTCCTACTGATCCAGCCGACTGAACTAGGAAAAATGAATTACCTATAGTAGCGAGTGTACTTTCTATTTAAAGGTGCTGTTGCCTACTCAAAGTCAAGTGAACTGCTGCTATCCGCTGCGATGTCTTGAAGGCTGCCGTGTCCATCATCAGCCCCTTCAGACTGTCGGAAATGTATCGCCGACAAACTTGTCAGTTAGCTATTCCTTTGGACTTAATCCAGCATTTCGCTAAATTGTGATCGTCAT